CACGCGGAGCCGGCCCGAGCAGCGTGCCGGCGGCCTGCGGACCGCTCGCTGGCCCTTCTTCCCGCGTGCCCCGGCTGCGCCTGGTGCAGCTCTCGTCGGGAGCCTTGAGACGGGGGTCAACGCAAGCGGGGGTCAGCCAGGGCGCCCGATCTCGCAGGATCCGGCAGGGCCATGGTCGCATTGACCCGGGCTTGGCCGCAGGATCCTGCTGGATTTTGCAAGATCCTTTGCGTTGACCCGAGTTTGGGTGCAGGATATTGCAGATTTTGCCTGGTTCTGCAAGGCGTGACTGGCCCGGGTCTGGATTGACCCGGGTCAGAAGATCCCCGATCTCGCGTCTCTCGTGTCAGCCGCTGGTCGGCCGCGTGAAGCATCTCGCTTCTCGTTCCTCCCTCTCTCTCTCTCTCTTTCTCCCCGTCTCCCCAGACCCCCTCGGGTCATGACCAAAACACGGCGAGAGGTTTCTCGCCAGTTTTGGGAGGGCGACGTTGTGAACAAAATGCGACGTCGGGGGTCTGGGTCTCCCTCTCATTGTTTGAGTGTCTTTTAACTATCTGGGCCAGAGAGCGCAACGCTCCCCACTCAGCGCGTCCCTGGCACTGTCGCAGTGCGTTCGGCACCACGGTTTTGAGGGTGGGCGCTACGTTATGCCCCCTCCCGTCACCCCCCCTCCACCCCCTAGCGCCCGTTGGCCGCGAATGCAACAATGCGTTCTCTCTCTCTCTCTCTCTCTCGTTTTTCTTCGTTTTTCGGCCTGTTATAGATGTTGGAGTGTGACATGGAAACTCCCCGGGTGGATCGTGGGCTAAGTGTTCAATGGGCCTTGGGGCAGATTATTTCCCTGTCGCCCTGCGGAGGAGGAGTGGGTTTGGGCCCAGAGTTGGCACTTTTGGTGTTGCTGGGGCCTTTTTCAGGACCGTCTGTAAGACGTCGAGGCCCTGTCGCGCTCTTGTGAGGCTCTCTGGGGGAGGGGAGAGCAGCAGGAGAAGGAACACACGGGCAGAAGAGAGGAGGAGGGCAAGAGATAGGGGGGGAGGCTGCGACGACGAAGGCGTCGGCGACGACGACGACGATGACAACGGGGGCGACGCCGAGGACAACCACGATGGCGTCGACGACGACGACGACGACGACGACGACGGCGACGACGACGCGGGTAAACGAAGAGGGGTAAGCGACCGCAGGACATGCTACCGCTCGGCCCAGAAGAGCGGGCGGTGGTCGAGGAGGCTCCTTTGGGCGGCGAGGGCTCCATGCCCCCTCGTTCCTCCTCCTCCTCCCGCTCCGCCCTGGTCTCTCCTCCTCCTTCTCTTGCTCCTCCTCCTCCTCCTCCTCCTTCTTCTTCTCCTCCTCCTCCTCCTCCTTCTTCTTCTCCTGCTCCTTCACCTCCTTCCCCCCCCGCCTTGGTCTCTCCTCCCCCCTTCTGGCCTTCCGTCAATGCCGTCTCCTCCTTCCTCTTGAACTGCTTCTCTTCCCCCTCCTCCTCCTCCTCCTCCTCCTCCTCCCCCTCCTCCTCCTCCCCTCCTCCTCCTTGTCATCCTCTTTCTCCTCCTCCTCCTCCTCCTGCTCCTCCTTATCCTCCCCCCTCTAATTGGTTGCTCACTCTCTTGTTGTTGTTTTCTCTCTGTCTCTCTCTCTCTCTCTCTCTCTTTCTGTTTTTTTTTTTTCTCTCTCTCTCTCTCTCTCTCTCCCTCCTTCTCCCACCTCCTCCGCCTCTCCCCCCACATCCCTCCTCCCTTCTCGGTCTTCTGCACCCCTCCCGCTTCCCTGATCACGTCTCGGGTCTCCTCGCGCGGCGCCTCCGCGCCCCGCTGGTGTTGCCGCTGCTCTTCTTCATCCCCCGTGCACCCCGCCCTCCCGCTCCTGTTGCTGCTGCTGCTGCCACGCCGCCTCGCCCCCTCCTCTCGAGTCCGGGCGTGTCCCTCAACCGGATAATGATCCAAACATGGTCATACAATAGTCTGGGGAGGGACGATGTTTTGAGTTCTTTTGCTGTGACTGAATGTGTATTTGACCATTCTTTACTTGTCATCCACAGTCCGCCTGTAGGAGGACATGCCCGACCTAACCCTACTCCCTCCCCCCTTTCCCTCCTTCTACCCCCCGTCCTCCGCACCCTTCTCGTCATGCTATTCCTGCTCGTGCTGCTATCCATCCTGCGGCTCGCCGTTCGTGCTGGCGGCACCGGTGCTGATGCCGCCTGTTGGCCCGGCGGCGGCTGCCGCAGATGATGTGCATGCTGCTGGTGCTGCTCCTGCTGCCCCTCCTGATCCCCGCCTGGTGATGCTGGCTCTCCTCCTCCGCCTCCCCCATTCCTATTTCGTATGAAAACTTTTCTCCTTGTCGAACCCCGAAGCCAGTCGGAAGGGCGGACCGGGCGTTTCGCCTGAGATTTCTTCGCCCCATATGATCCTGAAGCTTAGAAGTCACAACAACATCACGGATGGAGGGCGGGTCGTTTTCAAAATGTGGTTGTCCCCTGAGCGCCGCGCATATTCGGTTCAGACATTTGCAAGTACTTCACGGATTGAGGACAAGAGGTTCTTAACATGTGGTTCTCGCCTTAGCGCCGCGCACATCCGCTTCCAACATCTGCAAGAGTTTTACGGATTGAGGGGGTCTCGCTTTCAAAATGTGATCGTCGCCTTCCCGCCGCGGACATCCGTTTTCTAATTTGGGAGAGTTTCGCGGATTGGAGGCGGTTTGTTTTTCGAATGCAGTTCTCGCTGTTGCGCCGCGCGCATTCTTTTTCAAGAAATTGCAGGAGCTTCGCGGCGTGAGGGAGGTTTCTTGTCCAAATGTGGCCCTTGCCCCAGCGCCGCGCACGCTCGTTTTACAAATTCGCAGGAGTTTCACATAATCTCATGGCTAACATACCAAACATGGTGTTTTGGAACGACTCAGGATTGGTAGGGCGCAACAGCTACGCTGATCCGTGGCATCGAAGTCCCAAGAACGGCGTTCTCGCATGATCCAGCATCGTCAAGATTCAGCAGACAGCTTGATTCGTGGCGTCTCGGCACGCTTCAGGATCTTCAAACGGTTGTCTCCCAACTGGGCAGTTTCTTCCGTGAACATGAGTTCTGGCAGGGACCCATGAAGAGGATCTTGGAGGGAGGGTTTGTTCCAACATCGTTCTCGTCCTTCTCCTCCTCCTCTAATTGACCGCCCGGTGTTGCTCCGCGTCCCCCTCCTCCCCCGCCCCTCTCCCCTCCTCGCAATGTCCCCCTTCCTTTCCCTCCTCCCCCTTCCTCTCCCCCGCCTCTCTCTCTCCCCTCCCCGCTGTGTTCCCCTTCTCCCCCCTCTCCCCCCTTATCCGCCTCCTCCCACTCCTCCCCCTTCTCCCAATCCGCTTCCGTCCCTCGTCCTTGTAGATTACTTCCTCCTCCACGTCGCGCCCCCCAGGCCTGTCGGAAGGGCAGGCCGGGCGTGTTGCGTCAGACTTTATTACCACTTGGCACCCTGAGGCTACACCCGGCAGCAGTTTTTCAGAGCCCCGAATCATCAGGGGTAACTCGGGTCAGGGATAACTCGGGTTCGTTTTTCGGGAATCCAAACCCGAGTTACCCCGGACCCGAGTTACCCCGGATAACTCGGGCGTCCAGAGCCCCGAATCATCAGGGGTAACTCGGGTCAGTGGTAACTCTCGGGTTTCTTTTTCGGGAATACAACCCGAGTTACCCCGGACCCGAGTTACCCCGGATAACTCGGGCGTCCAGAGCCCCGAATCATCAGGGGTAACTCGGGTCAGGGGTAACTCGGGTTTCTTTTTCGGGAATCCAAACCCGAGTTACCCCGGACCCGAGTTACCCCGGATAACTCGGGCGCCCAAGTTTTAAAAGATGGAGGGCGGGCCGCTTCCAGAATGCCATTCTCACCTCAGCGCCTTGCACATTCATTTCAAACCGTTACAAGAGCTTCACGGGTTGAGAGCGGGTCGTTTTCAACATGTGGTTCTCGTCGTGCCACCGCACCCATTTGTTCCAAACACTTGAAAGAGCTTCACGGATTGAGGGCGGCTCAGCGGCTCGTGTTCAAAATGTTGTTCTCGCCTTAGCGCCGTACGCGTTTGCATTGAACTGTTGCAAGAACCTCGCTGATCGAGGGCAGCTCGTTTTCAAAATGTGGTTCTCGCCTCAGCGCCGCGCATAAGCGTATTAACATGTGAAAGAGCTTCACGGTTTGAGGGCGGCTCGTTTTCAACATGTCTTTCTCGCCTTACCGCCGCGCACATTCGTGTAATCAAGTCGCAAGAGCTTCACGGATGCTTATGGTTCTCGTATCAGAGATAATTCTTTGGAGCGGCTCAGGATTGCCTGGGCGCAACAGTTACGTTGATTGGCGGTGTGGAGTCCCAGAAGTCATGTTTTGGCATGATTCAGGGCGTCAAGTTTCAACAGACAGGTTGATTCGTGTCCCTGGAGTTCAGGGAACGGTGTCTTCGCATACGTCAGGATCTTCAAACGGCTGTTTCCCAATGCGGCACTTTCTGCAGTGGGCATGGATTTTTGTATGGGGCTTATGAAAGGGGGAGCTTGTAGGGAGGGTTTATTCCAACACCGTTGATGAGTCTTGAGATTTCACTGGCCCTTTCCTTCACCTCCTCCCCGTCCTCCTCTTCCTCCTCCTCCTCCTCCTCCTTCTCCTCCTCCCCCTCCTCATCCTCCTCCTCATCCTCCTCCTCCTCCTCTTCATGTTCCTCCTCCTCGTGACCCTTTCTTCCACCCTCCCCCTTCGCCCGGTTTTGCAGTCCGCAATCCGCCCTCACGCGTCCACCACGGGGGCGACGCAAAAATGCGGGGGCGTCTGCGCCGACACTGGCGCGTAAGCTGTCCGTGTAAGGTCGCGCGTAAGCGCCCTCGTCTCCAATGTAGCGTTCCGCGCTGGCGGCCTGCGTAAGCCACGGCGTGAGACCCGTTTCGTCTCGTCGCCGGCGTGAACTCCTTCGTTCCGCCCCCCGACCCGGTCGACCGGAGACGACGGTGGCGACGGCTTTCCGCAGCCGAGCCCAGTTGGCTCGAGGTTAGTTGACCAGGCCCAGGCTGGCGCTACTCTCTTTCGGCGGCTGCCGTGGCCGAGGCGGGAATTGGGTCGTTGTCGTCGTCGTCATCGTCGTCGCCGTCGCCGTCGTCGTCGTCGTCGTCTTCGTCGTCTTCGTCGTCGTCGTCGTCGTGGCCAACGCCGCCTTTGCCTTTGCCGTCGCCGCCGCCGCCGCCGCCGCCGCCGACGTCATCGTGGTCGTCGTCGTTGCCGTCGTCGTCTTTGCCGTCGTCGTCGTCGTCGTCGTCGCGCGCGTAGGCGGGGTAGGAGAAGGATGGGGAAGGGGGAAGGAGAAGGAGGAGTAGGGGAGGAGGGGGCAGAGGATGAGTGGAGGAGGATAGGAGGAGGGGGAGGGAGGAGGACGGATGGAGCGAGGAGGAGCAGGAGGACGACGACGAGGACGAGCACGAGGAGGCAGGAGAGGGGGGAGAGAAGGGGAGGAGCGGAAGTAAATGGTAGTGGTGCGGCCCCGCATTGGGGCAGCCACAGGACGTGCCCGAGACCAGGTAACTCCACCTACACGTCGGACCCAAACTCCTCGTCCGCTGAGCCCGGGGGCAAGGCTTCCCGCCGGCACCCCATCAAGCATAATACAGCCCCTGACCCTTTTAACACGATGAGTTCGCTGCCTCACTTAGGTCCTCGGTTTTTAGGGCTGGCCCTATACGTGTGGGTGGTTTCGTCTGAGGCATCTGCAACAATAGGCCTATCCCCAACGTTTTTGGCCCTCCTGACTTAGGTCCCCTGCCATACAGAACCAGAGGCACTTGATTGCTTATCAGCCCCGTCTCCGCACGCCTTCGAGGCCCGCCGTGTGCAGGCCGAAGGCCGCGAGGGGATGCCGCCACGCAGCGACCCCCAGCAGCGGCTCGGTCGCGGCGCGCCCCACTGGAGCCGCAGTTGCCGCGCGGGCGCGCGCGATGGGCGTGCCACCGAGGGCGCTCTCCAGAAGTCCCATCTCCTCGGCGCTGAATGTCCTCCGCCCCTCCAGCGTCTCATGCTGGCGGGCGGGCCGGTAGCGCGGCCACCTGTCCTGTATGGTGAGGCGCAGCTGCTTGCGACCAGCATGGCATTTGAGCCTCTCGCAGAGCGCCTGCAGGAGCTTGCCCGGCGTTCTGCCCGTCCAGACGCCCCCGCAGCCCATGCAGAAGAATGCGCCCGGTTCCTGGCCGCTGCACCAGGCCGCAGCGGAGCAAGGCGTGTCTGTTGCTACGCGCTGCCCGATCTTGCAGCTCGCCCCTGCTGTGGTAGAGGTTGAGCTCGGGCGGGGCTAGGACGAGGATAAAGAGCGTTCCGGAGTGCTCTCAGAGCGCTCTGGGGAACGCTCGGAGAGAAGGCTGCGGCGCCCGATACATCTCGTCACGAGCCGCCGGCCGGATCTAGGAGATTCTCGACATTGATCCTCCTCCGAAGTGGTCCTCGTCCTTGCTTCGTCTTAGGAGCGGCGGCCCCGCCGTGTCCGGGTGGGCGCTCTGGGGCTCCTCCTCGGCAGCGCGGGGGCTCCGCGCCGGTGCGCCGCGTCGAAGGCGACCTCTGCCTCGGCCGTGGCGTCCGCCGCCTCGAGACTCTCGGGCCGCGGGCCGCAGGCCCCGGCCCTGCCGCGTGGCCCTTCCAGAGCTCTTCGCCCTCGGTGCCAGGGGGATGGAGGCTGGCGGCTCGTTTGGCCAGCGCGTTCGCGTGGCCGTCGGCGCGCCGTTCCTGGTGGGTCGCGCGGCCCGCCTCCACATCGGCCGGCGTGGAGTGCGCAGTCGTCGTGTGCGCCTCCAGATCGTCCGCCGTGAGCGCACCCCAGAGGGTCGGCCACGCGCAGAGTGGGGAGGTAGAGGGGAGGAGGGAAGGCTTCTTAGAAGCACCCCTGCTCCTTAGAAGGCGCGGGCCTTCTCTATAGATGTAAGGCCCGCGCCCTCTAAGAAGCAACCTCCTTCTAAGAAGCCTTCCCCCCTCCCCCTACCCCCTTGTGCGCGCCTCCAAGACGTCCGCCGTGAACGCACCCCAGAGTGGAGGGTTTCTTTGAAGGGCTTGGGCGACCCGTCCTCGTCTCCCCTTCTCCTCCTTCTCCTCCTCCCTCCTCCTCCTCCTCCTCCTCCCTCCTCCTCCTCCTCCTCCTCTCTCCTCCTCCTCCTCCTCCTCCTCCTCCTCCTCCTCCTCCTCCTCCTCCTCCTCGGTCGGTCGGTCGGAACTAAAGGCCGGTTCGAGTCGAAGCCTCTCCTAGGTGTGGGGAGCAGGGCAAGGGAAAATGGGCAGAGCGCTCCTACGGAGCAGGGCTGCAGGGCACGTGCAGTTAGACATCAGGGGTCAAGTCCACACGGAGGCCAACAGCAAAAAAGAGAGCGGGGGCCGTTACAATGCAGGGAACGGGTCCAAGGGCTTCCAGAACTCGAATCCACCCCCGAGCACATTCACCACTTCACCCTCATCACTGCACAGCAACCCTTTCCTCCACTCATGTGTGAAAGCGGACGCAAGCACATCATAGAACCCCGAATGCAACTCACTCTGCCAGTTGGGCACTCTCCCGTCAAGTCCCATGTGGGAGTGCGCTTCCCTGCAGACTCCCCAGCCTTTCTCCCTCAGCTCCCCTTCGAGGGTGTCTAAGGACACATTCCACGCGGTAATCGGTTCCCATCTAGTGTGCTGTCCAAACGTGCAACTATCAAGAACGTGCGAGGCCATCACTTTCTTTTTTCCCGCCAGAGCAACCTCGGGCACATCCTGAATTTTACAGCCATGTCCAACTTCGCGCTGTACAATCGAAGTCCACGGAACCTTGTGCAAGGCGGCCGCACAAGCGAGCTCGAGACAGTCTCTCAAGTATTTGTTCTCAGCCTTGACGCAACTTCGCTCTCTGGCGTTCAAATTGGGTCGGCCCCAGGCGCACTCACGATTCCTCGGAGGTTTCACACGGGCACCAAGGGTCCCTCTAAGACCAGGCACAGCAAAAAACCCTCCACACAATTTTCCTTCCCCCATCAGATCCGTCCACTTCTTTACATCTTGCTCAAGCCACTCCACGTGAGACACATGGATGAACTGAACATGCACACTCAATGTCGAGCTCTTGGCCTCGATATGGTATTGAAAATCCTCCTCCTTCCTCTCTCCTGAGCTGACAATGAGAAAAAAGGGCGGAAGCATGGCGTTGGAGGGTCTTCCAACGGGCGCTTGCACAGCGGGCCTGGCGAGCAAACACACAGGAGCGTCAACCGTGGGAGATTCGTCAACAGCAATTTTCAGCGCGAGCGGCGGTCCGTAAACTGGGTGGGCGGCCTTTTCGACAACATCCTCATGTTTGCCAGCTTTCCGATTTTTACTCTGGCTGGCCAAACTGTCGAGTCTCCATGACTCCACTTCAGCACTCGAGACGGGCCTACCCAGCCCATGCCAAGTCTTGGCACACACAGGTTGTCTCTTCAGATGTTTAACCAACCGACCATTGCTATGAAACTGGTAACAACAGATCTGGCACACTGTGCCACAAGCCCACGCATTGGGATCCTCCGCGTTTTTTATGGAACTTCCCCTTATGGATAGCAAGGCCTTTGGAAGTTTTGGCAAGGTAGCCGCACTCGTAGCAGAGGAACCACGGGGCAGCAGTGTTGCCTCCTCCAGCTTCCTCTATGCCTTCTGCCGTTTCTTCCAGGGGTTGAACACCGAAACCCTCAAGACGCTTGCCGAATTCAATATTCTTCTGCTTTTCAAGCTGCACGTGCAGCTCTCTCTCAGCAGCTTCACGCACTCCAGCAGAAAAAAGGGTTTGCGGCAGCTCCGAGCCGCGCGAATCCAGTCCATGGCCCCCCCCATGTCCAGGAATTCTCTTTTTGTCCAGGCGAGAGTTTAACCAGTCGAAATCGGTTTTCAGCTCAGCCGTCCATCCCTTCTCATCCTCCCAAAGAGTGTCCAAGGCAACCAGCAGCCCACTCGGCGCACAGGACAGGAGGCGCGCCAAATAACGCAGCCTGGCCACCCTAAGGATGGCTCTGTGACCAAGCCGTCCAACTTTGGCCAGAACGCTGGCGTGGGATTGGTGGTCTTCATCATTTCCTCTCAACGGCATCCCCAAAGCAGCTCTGTACGCGGCAGCCTGAGCCGCAGCAAGCCTAGCATGAAGCCGAGCCCCCATGGGGTCCCAAATCGCAGAATTAAACCAAAGTTTGGACACCGCGAAGGCATCCGCGTACTTGACCCGAGTGGACACAGACAACACTTTTCTTTGTCCCAAGGCCACTTGGATGGGTCTTAGTTCCTTGCGAAGCACTCCCGTCCTGAGCTGGACCTCAGCCCCCATCCCCCCATCTTCCATGATCATCGTCCCCAGCCCCTTCATCTGCTTGACAATGGCAACCTTGATGGCATGCTTAGGGGACTGCACAAAGTCTCCTCCTCCCTCCATGGCGACCTTCCGTTTAGCAAGCTGGGAGCCTGGGCCCACAAGGGCCAACGTAAGAAACGTTTTACTCGCGTTCAGCTGAAGTCCGAACCTCGAAACTGCTTCGAAAACTAAGTCAACTAAGAGGGCAGCTTTCATGTGCACATCTTCCGCCTTCTTGATCGCCCCCACTAGTGTGAGGTCGTCAACAAACGCAACCGAGTTATGGCCCTCCTGCCAGTGGGACTCATCAGAGAATCGTTTCTCAACTTCAGGCGGCTTCCAATCAAGCTCCAACTGCTGCGTTCCTTCTTCTATCAGAAGGATGATTGGAGTAAATGCGACGTTAATGTCGTCGGTGGCAAACACCGCGCCTGGGCGCGTGCCCAGAGTCGGGCGCACATATGATGTTGCATGTCTGACCTTCCAAAAAGCCCCGGCCTTCGTATCGCGCACCAATTCAAGACGGTGCTGATCTTCAACCATATTTTCAAGAATAGGTTGGCCCTCAAGGGCCATGGTCGCGGAGAAAAGGGCCTCAGGGATTTGAACAGTATCCAGGGCAGCTTTCAGATCCTCCTCCTCCCCTGGGAGCCTCAAAATAAACTGCTTCACCACCGAGTAAAAAGCGGCGGTAAGATCTAAAAACATGCCAATGGTGGACACCTTCATC